CCCTTTGAAAGAAGGGATGACTTAAAGATACCTAGTCTGAGTGAGGAATAATAATGATGAAATATCACTATTCTTCTATTAGGCTTATATTGGAGGAACAAAGATATGTGAATAAAAGGGAAACAAAAAGCACACATAGGGAGAAAAATCACAATTGAGTGTTTTTACAGCGGCAAAAAAAAAAAAAAAAGACACATGTAATAACCAGGGAGGGGTTGTGTAGGAAATATTGATCAGAGAGTGAGCTTTGATTTAGGAGAAGGGGGAATACATCAAAGTTGTAATGCTAGCAGAAATAGAAAACATATAAAAGTAATTTAAAAGAAACAGTACAAGTTAACTTGTCCTTGAGGAGAGAGAGTGAAGCCAAGGGAGAAAATAAGCAAACTGTGGAATGATATTTTCAATTGCCTCATATACATGCAAAAGCTGAACAATGAATAAAGAAGACTCAAGAAGAACTGATGCCTTTGAAATACAGTATTGGCGAAGAATATTGAATATGCCATGGACTGCCAGCAGAATGAACAAATCTGTCTTGGAAGAAGTACAGCCAGAATGCCCCTTAGAAGTGAGGATGGTGAGACTTCATCTCGGGCACTTTGGACATGTTATCAGGAGGGACCAGTCCTGGAGACAGACATCATGCTTAGTAAAGTAGAGGGTCAGCTAAAGAGGGGAAGACCTCTCAATGAGATGAATTGACACAGTGGCTGCAACAATGGACTCAAACGTAACAACTATTGTGAGGATGGCACAGGACTGGGCAGTGTTAATGCTGACACAAGTGGGATATTTGTAATGGGAAATATGGTTAATAAAGAGAATAATAATTAAAATGTTGGCATTTTAAATCTGAAGAGGTAGAGGGACATCCGGGGGAGAAGAATTGTAAATAAAGGGTTGGGGATTTCAATTTAGGAGTCTTCTGTGCAGAGAAAATACTGGATGAGAATTAGATTTTGTTTTGCCAATCCCAATCAAGACTGAGAAGGATCTCCAGTCCTGGGGTCAGCAGGAAAGATTCCATGATCAATCAGTAATGTCAATTTTGGAATTGGGAGGCAAGAAAGGCATCAAGAATCACTCATCTGCCCTCACATAAAAGAAACATAGACCGGGCTGAGCCAATGGGGCAAGGAGGCAGAGTGAGAGAAGTTATGCATAATTAGTACAGAGCCATAGCATTGCCCAGAGTTGGGTGTGAGAAGAAATCAGGTAGAGATTCAGGAAGAAATCCAGAGAAATATAGTGTCATAGACACCAAGGGAGGAGAAAAGGCTATACGGATGTCACGGTCAACACCATCACATTCTGCAAAACATTAAGAAAAATGAGGATAAGAAGAATCCCTAGACTGGGCAATAAGATTTCTGTGCACCTTTGGAAAGACTGAATTGTTTCAGGATGTGATGAAGTAAATTGTAAGTGAGGAACTGTAGTCAATTTTTACATACCACATAAAGAAATATTAATTCACCTCTCAGCCTCCACTTTCTGGAATAATTTTTAACTGTATATTATTAAAACCTGATCATTATGTTGGATAAAACAAACTTCAGGAAAAAATGTACTCTAAGGTCTAATTTTTTAAATCAAATAAGGTACTTTCTAACCTTATTGCTTTAGAGTTATGATTTAGAGCTTATGCGTATGCAATCTTAAGAGATATTATTAATTTTTTTATCCTAAAAATTAACTTAAATTCATATTAAATTAAGAAAACAAAAACTTGCTGTAGAGCCTTGTAATAATAGAGTCACCACTACACAGATTTGGATATGTGTTCCTATAATCATTAATTAGTGCACGAGTACAACAGAGATGGTCTACAACCACGCTTCCTATACACACACACACAAAGTATGTCTAGGAAGTTTTCCAGGTCTACCATTTGTCAGATTTACAAATGCACCTGGCTAAAAATAAGCCATTCAGGAAAAGAAGCCCTCACTTTCTCTACCATGAAATTGAGGTGTTTGTTGTGATACGTTCATTAAATTAAGAAGTGGGAATTGTAAGTGCACTCTAGCCCTTTAAGGCAGCTGGCATTCCAACTGACTAATGCACTATGGAAATCAGAATAGAACACAGGACAGCAGAGAGGACAGGCAGTTGGAAGAATGATGGAGGTCAAGCAGGACTTAAGGAGGGACTGGTAAATAAAAGAAGCACTTGAAGAAAGAACGAAATGTTAAGCTGAGCCAAAACAAACAGAAAAGGACAGTTGTAAAAAGAGTAAGTTAAAAATAACAGAACACTTTCATTTGACTCCATAAAGGAAAAAATAAATAAACCCAAGAAAAAAGAACCATTTCTGACAATTGCTGATAGGCGAGAAAACAAAACGTGGAAATTTGTTTGTTCAAAATTTACTGTTATTATCCAAGAAGCACTAACTTTTAGGATCCTAAGTAAAGGTTAAATAAGCTCAAATTAGGACTTCGTGATCTCCAGAACTTTTTTTAATAGACTAGTTAAATTTGTAAAAGAAATTAGGGAAATTGTTATGAAAACACCAATTTATTAATTTGAGAAATCAAGGATAAACTGTAATCACCATTACATAAATGAAATGACATCTTAATATGCTGTAGGGACTGTGAGCAGATATAGTCCTATATTCCTACTGATAATATTCAAAATTACAAATGTAACAGGCATCTTTCATAAAGTATATATATATATTTCAAGACGAGGGACTGAGAAAAATTACCATAGATTAAAGGAGAAAATACTATGTAAACGAAAACAGAGTAAATTTACTCTAGAGTAAATTCTTTCTTCTCCCCACTCTCAGAATCTTTGGAAAGTACCCCCCACCCCCCAGCCAGGATGTAATTATTATATATTTCCTTGTAAGCTTTAAAAAAAAAACAAAACAAAACTCTACAATTTGAGTCTTGTTTTAACATTATGTTTCATTTCAAAGTAGTTGCTTATCAATATACTGTGGAAGGATTTTGCAATTCAATGGCATTTGACAAACTGTGATTCACTCTTTTTTTGTCAGGAAAAAAAAAAAAACGTTCATCACTGAAGCGGTATCCTGATATTATAACCTGATATTATAAATATTGTAATAAGCTTAAAACAGGGAGCAATAAGAAGTGTAAATAGGACTCAACATGTCCTTCTCAGGCCATCATGTCCAAAAGGCCAGCAAACGACCTTTTCCATTGGAATCCCTTCTAATGCCACAAGTTCCACGTAGCAATTACTTGCACTTTCAGGAAGAAAAGCAAAGACTACAACTAAAGAAATTCCTCCTTCATAGGATGTTTCTAGTGGCCAAGATTCCAGCACACACAGACAAAAAAGACATTGCTGAATACTATGAACAAGTGTTTCAGTCAATTTTGAAACATCACCTAGGAGAAATGGTGACAGGATTGTTGCTCATATACCCCACTTCCATTCTTCATATCCTTGAGTCTTCCAATGGTACTCTTTTCCGAATTCTTTTAGATTATCTTGACCGTGAAAGGAATGAAAATGAATTTTTAATCCAAGGAATGAAAATTATAGTCGTGTCCCATAACATCCCAACGAGGCTCTTTATGCAATGGCACGTCTCGGTAATAAAAGTGCCCGTTATGTACCTCGATGATGTGACGCAGTCACAGTCCCTAGAAGAGGTCATCACAGAGTTTCTCACCCAAACTCATAAACTAGGACTCCACCTTTTTAAGACTGTTAAAGTGGGCACCAAAGGGCCAGGCGACAACTTGCACCAAGTTGCTCCTGAACTGCTACTCCCAGAACAAATAATAAAGTATTTGTGCAAATCTGAAGAATTCCTGGACCCAGCAACATTCATACAAATGTATAATAATCCCATACATGTCACTTTGGATTCTGAGGTGGTATGGCCTGCTCCTACCCGTTTCTAGGATTGAAAGAGATGATGTGGTCATATCTCTTAAGGAATTTATGCTACTTAATAAAAGGAAAATATTTCTAAAGTTTTCTTTTTTTTAAGGAAGAGAACACTGCGATGTGCACAAAGGTGATCCATACAGAGTATGGTAAGGTTTCAAATAAACTTATAAACGTATTTTTTTGTTCGGATATTTAGTTTAATATATTATTTTAGTGGGTAAAGAGTTTTAATAAATTCATAATAAGTTCTAAAATACATCATTTCCATGGAACTACTTTTTTTTAAAAAAAAAAAAGAAAAATATGGGTGACAAAGGATAATCACTTGATTCAGATTCTCATTCATTCTCTTAACAATCCTTGAGCAGACACCACTAGACAGAACTACATTCAGTTGTAGGGGTACAAAAACTTAGGGAAAGAACTTACCCTTGAGTTTCTTGCAAACTAAGGTGAGAGGCAAGTATGTGTAAAAGTAACTATGGTATAACATATAATACAATAATTACTGTAATGGCAGTATGTAGGAAGGGCTCTGAGAGCACAATTAAAGGACTAATTTCTATGTAATTCGTACATTCAGAAGACAAAGCCCAGCCTTTGCAAATGGCTTCAAAGCTGACAATGTACTATATAATTGAAAATATTGAGGCTATTATAAAGCTAAGGAACAAATAGTTCATTGAAACCACTGGAAAATACGTTGTTAGAGGTCATTGTATTCCTTCATGCAAAATCACTTATTGAGTTCCGGCACTAGGGATATGGCAGCTTACAATGCAGACATGATTTAGGACCACGTGTAAAACTTATTTCTAAGTCATTCCATGTAAAATAAACCAATTGGTTATTTTCTCAGTTTACATCCTATAAAGTACTCAATTATGTGCAATTTCTATATGATCTATTTTAAGTTGGTCTCTCCCTTCCTTTACCAAGGATTAGCACGTTTGCATTTTAAAATGTTTTCTTGATTCTTTACTCAATTTAATGACATTGATATTTTGATAACTTCAATGATATTTTATCCAAAATGACCTTAATATCTTACAACAAAGACTCTGGATTTATTGGAAAAATTGTGTTATATCTTTTTAATTTCATTTTTATTGCTTTTTGATTTCTAGTCCCTTCAGGAAAAAAGCAATCTCAGTATACACCCCCAAGTTCTTCACATACAGGTAATTTGCCATTATTTCTTCCATATCAGAATCCAATTTCAGGAAAGATTATTCTTATTTTTGTATTTTGTAGTACATACTTAAATACAGAATGTTCTTTTTCACTGTTAGCTGAACCTGAAGTTGCATTCATTTCAAATTAATAACAGGAAGAGCATATTTTAGATAAAATGAGAAAAAATTCTTCTGGTTAAAAAAGGAGTATATAATTTTCCAAATGTTATCAATTTAGCAAATACAAAACATCTAGTATTACTTAGGAATGTGCTATTTACTCTTGGAACTGTGAAAAAGATACAAGATAGCCATTAATAGTTAATAAATGATTTAGTGACAAAAATGAGTGGAGGTGAAAGTAAATGTTTCCCAGGTTAAAAAAGCAATAGACAAAACACTTTATGGAAGAAGTGAGCCTTGGTATAGGCTTGGCAAAGTGATGAGAATTTGGATGTGAGAAATGATTTGGGAGTGCAGACCAGTATGTTTAGCAGAATGAGTACAGACAGGAAGGAGAAAATGAATACTACATGTTCACTGGATCAGATAGAAGTCCCTTTATTGGGACTGCCTTCTCAAGAAGTCCAGCAGAGTTCCATAGGCACCTCCAACTCCACATGCTCTAGATGGAATACATTATTCCCAGCCATGACTATTCCTTCAATCTGCTCCCCTACTTGCACTCTCTGTTTTTATAAAGATGATGGCGGCTGCTGTGTGCTAGGAGGCCACATAACATCACTTCTGGTAAACTCTGTTGGTCGAGGCAATCACAAAGATCTGCCTGATTTCAAGGGGAGGAGACTTAAAGGTCAATACTCAATGAGAGGAATGTCATGTTCACATTGTGCAATGGTTATGCACTGGGCTGCTAACCAAAAGGTAGGTGGTTTGAACCCACCCAGTGGCTCTCCAGGAGAAAAGACCTGGTGATCTGCTCCCAACAAAGTTTATTTTTAAGTATTGTACTTAATCTCAAAGTCAGACCTGTTGTCACTGCGCATGTTAAAAAGAGTGAGACATTGCCTCTAAGGGGAAACACAAATATGTTTTTAGTAACAGTTACACTATTGAGATACCTATATAGGTCTCTAATATAATATCTTTAAAGGAGCAACACTCATTTAGCTGTGTATATTCAGGCATATTTCATAAAATATAGTAATTTTCTTTTATTTATTCAGTTATCTTACAAATAGAAGTTAGTTTGATGAAGTCTAAAAATGTAGTGATTCATTAAACCTTAAACTCCAAAGGTAATTCCCAACAAAATGAAAGTTATAGTTTCCTTACAATAAAATTTCAGGGTGCAGAACTTAACACGAATAGCAAATTAGTATTTAACACTGTAAACATATAACATACAATATATTTGTATAACAATGAGCATGTAACATAGATTCATATATATCCAATAAACAAAACATTCAAATGGTGTGGCCAGCACCATTTTAATCCTTACATTTTAATATGGACATCTTTACAATAAACTGCCATGCTAGCGATCTTATCCTTGTTTCAGAGCATCCTTGTTTCAAGGATTTTCAGGAAGGCTATGAAGTTTTATTGAAGAATAACTGGAATAATATTATTTGAAAGGAGAAACCTCCTCAGGGTTAATTTTAAAATTCTACCATCTTCCTTTTAATAAAAGAGGCATCTAAAGTCCTTCGTGGACCATCACTGCTTAACAAAAATATATTTTCATATTTAGTGACTTTATCATAAATTAAGTGGTTAGGAGCTCAGGCTGCTAACCAAAACGTCAGCAGTTCGAATCCACCAGCTGCTCCTTGGAAATCCTAAGCGGCAGTTCTACTCTGTCCTATAGGATCGCTATGAGTTGGAGTCGACTCGACGGCAACGGGTTTGATTTCTGGTTTTAGTTTAGCAGCACAAAAACACATTTCAATTCAGTAAAACCTGTCTCTGGCAGTAAAATTCCCCCACCTTCCGTGAGGAAGTGAAAATGAGACAGCATATCGCCAACTTCATATTGCAAAGTACTTTCAGCTTTTTTCATATTGAATTAAATGATTTAATGTAGAATTAGAGTTCTCCCTCTTGTGGTCAATTATTTAAATTTCCAGATTACCTATTGGGAGGATTTATAAAATAAATACAATGTATTAAATTTAAGAGAATCAAAAAGAAAGCCACATCGTACCTTTCAAATATCTGCTTCACTGTCCTTGTTTTGCAGATAAATATTCAGAAACTTACAGACATTAAGTGCTTTGCCTAGAGTAGAAACAAATATTGGTAACCATAACTGTCTCTTTATACTTCATCACTTTAATTATACAAATCTTGATTCCCCTACAAGTGAATCATTTTAAGCAAATTATTCCCATCAACTAAATTCTTCTCATTATTTTGGAATTTTGATTCTCTTATGGGAAGTTTTTAAATATCTAAGAAAAATATTTTATTAGCTAGCTTAACAATGAGTTGTTATATGCAGAAAAACTATTCTCTAATTTTTTTCATTTTGTTGAAAGATCAAGTTTAGTGTGTGTTATTTTTATCATTTGATACATTGTTAATTTCTAACAGTGGTTGGACTGTAGATTCTTTAAAATATTTTTGGCCAGTATGTTCCTATACAGGCAGAAATTTAAAAGGTTTTCTTATAATTTAAGTCAAATATATTTAATCATAAGTAACAAATAAAGCAGGAAAAAAAAGAATCCATTTTTAACTGAGTGCATTTACAAAATTGGTTCACCTATAATATTCAGTCAAAAGAAAGACCTTCCATCCTCAAAGAGAATAACAGTGTTGTCAGAGGCATTCCTCTCTGTTGCATGCACCTGCTCGCTGTAGTTGCATGCTCCCCTGATCGAACCCAATCCATGCCCATGATCTCAACTCCCACCTATGAGCTGATGACTTCAAATATATGTTTGTATTTTCATTTACTTGTTAATCAAATATTTATTACACAATAATTTGTGTAATTACTGTTTAGTCACCATAGATACAATGGTGAAAAAGACAAGGCCCATATGTCCGATAAGCATGTACTGTAGACGAGGAGACAGAATTCAGATAGTTTTTCATGTTGTGGAAAAAAAAAAAGTCATAGAATTGATAGTGACTCATGAGTACAATTTACATTTGGTAGTCAGGGAAGGCTCCTCACAGGAAGTGGCCTACAAACTTGACACCTGAGTGAGAAGAGGTATCATCCATGTCAATATGGGGTGGTGAAGGCTAAGACATTCCAGCAGAGAAAACAGCAAGTACAAAGGCCCTGTGGAAGGAGCAAGTTTGGCATCTTTGTGAGACAGAAAGGCCAGTGTGGCCGGAGTACAGGAACCAGGAGGAGGATGAAGTTGGAGAGGATGGCCAGAGATATGAGGTGTAGGGTGTAATGATCATGGTAGGGATTTGGATTAAATTCTAAGCTTTGTCTACACTGCTACACCTGCTCCAGTCCTCATAAACTGCCTTCTCAAGAAGTCCAATGAAATACCATAGACACCTCCAACTCCACATGCTCTAGATGGAATACATTATTCCTAGCCATGACTATTCCTTCAACCTGCTCCCCAACTTGTACTCTGTTTTTATAAAATGGACCACTCTCCATTTGCTTAAGTCAGAAACCTGAAAATCATTCTAGATTCCTCTCTTTTTATCACTGAAAGCCAATCAATCCAAACCTCACCCATTTTCCAGAGTAAATTTTTCTAGCGTCTAATTTTGTTTCTGTGCCCTCCTTAAGCATCTCCTTCACTTTGGTCTCTTTTTCCTTCTGTCTCTCTTCCTGGTCTATATGATATTCATATCAAAGACAAAGGCAGTATAGCACAAGGTTTAAGGGAGTC